GTAAGTGTGCTTATTTAACTCAGACAACAACTGGGAAAACTCGTCAGAGCGAGGCCGTTTATTCTGCTTCACCTTTGAAGTAATCCATGTATTTACATAAGGATACATGCCCGAAGCGGGTCGAATGAAAACAAACTTCGACTTCCACTCGGTGACGTTCGACGAGAGATCGTCAAGAAAGGTAACACCAGCGCGACGACCCAAACAATGGGCGCCTTTGGAAAGCCGGTAACCGTAACAGTAAAAGAAAAACTCGGGAGAAAAGAATTTGAGTATTATTCGGGAAATGACGATGAAGGCTATCATAATGCGAATGGCATTAGGGAAAAATTGATTTATGGGTACATTGTACAAATTGCTTATCAGGATGAGCTCGTCTTGGATAGGGAAGCGAAGGCCAAAGACGACTTGGTCTATGAAAAACGTATGACAACCAGGAGGAGGATGAGCAAAATCGTCATGGGGGCCTGGGGCGACCAATTCCCAGTCGGAAGGAAGCCCACTAAATTTCCTGAAACCCTCGACTTCGACTGCAGAGGCATAACAAAATGGATTTAGAACAGCTAACCTAGCCAAGGGACAAGCTATAGATACAGTATTTTGAGAATCGAGAAGAGGAGCAACTATTGGTACAGATACAGGGCTCGTTCAATAAACAGGGATATCTAAGAACCTAAGAGGAATACCTCGGGGAATGAGATCGAGACGAGGAAGATTTCCTCGAGGAGGGCTCTTCACAATGTCGACTAAGCCGCCATCCAAGAGCGCTTGGTCGTGCTGCTCCCAGTCGGCAGAAAAAGCAGTGGCGAGAGGAGGAGAAGAATGGAAAGGCAGTGAAACCATCCTATAGCCGGTTACCTCGACAGAGTCAGAACTAGAACCCTCGTCGGCTTGATAAATATAATCGTTGATCTGCTGACCAAGGGAGCCAGAGAGAGGAGACGAGTCGGAAGCTAAGGAAAGAAAAAGAGGGAGAAGGTCGAAGTTAGTAAAGTCACGAGTTAGGGCCTAGAAGATCGAATCAAGACGACTCGCAATAATCGACAGAGGAAGAAAGAACAAAGAAGGGGCAATCGTTATCGGCATCTCGACTTAAATAAACCAGTAAGTCGACCTTAGTCGACTCGAAAAGAGAAAACTGAAGAAAGAAGGCCACTAAGTCGACAAGAGCCGACTTAGCGACAGGTGAAAATCAACTGCACATCGGCAGCCGACGACTAGTAAAAACAATAAATTCTAGCAGAGTGTACGCATAAAGAGATCCAACGCAAAACCCATAAGAAATTCGTGAAGGACATGAAGAACACATATGACTTCCAGGTTCGAAAAAGCCAGAAAAATAAAAAAGGAGGAAAACGATAGAAATCTAAAAGTTAAGAGAAGGTAGTGAACTTACACATGATGGCGTAGTTGGCTTGAACTGCGAGTAAGCCTGAAGTTGCCGGAAAAGAGGAGCGCCGGTAAAGCCGAAGAGCAAAGATCGCCGGAGATGCTTGAGGAAGTTTGAGAGAGTAAGAAAGCTCGGAAATGTGAAAAGTGATTTTCTGAGAGAGGGAAGTATATTTATACAATATAAGGATGGGTGTGAACCGTTGGATCATCAAAATAACCAACGACCCTGATGAGACACGGAATTCGAAGAGTCGGCGATGGAGATGACGCGCGTCACTTTAGGGTTTCGAAATTTGAAATTCGAAATAAGTCTGTCAGAGAGTCAGGCTTATCCAAAAAGCAATCATGAGATTGAGATGTGCCCTAATCCATTGACGAGACGAGTTGTAGAAGGGGCCAATACGAGCAAGACTGATAAGAAGGCGACACAACTATACTTCACCAAATTTACTCTTAAACAGTCGACTGCTTAGAGTATTTTTTTGGGGGGGACTAGATGATATAGCCACATAAGGATAAAACCGGTTTAGAAGTTTCCTACTCGACCGGTGAACCACTCAAACAACTCGTATGTAGACAGGACTCTGTCGACATCTTCACATTGACCTTCCTAAAGACGATTCTACTGAGAGCAATTGGAAAGAAGCAGAAATTGGCCTAGTCGACTCTCCCTAGTCGACCTTTGTCTATCGACTTTTACTAGTCGACATCAATGAAAGAAGGGCAGCAAGAGACGCCCGAGCATCCCGATATTCTAAGTCGACTCTCAGCAGTTGACTGAGCTAAGACGACTCTCTGAAGACGACTTCGCCTCAAAGAATTAGTTAAGCGTAGCCTCCAAATCCGCACATATCCACGAGTCGACTTCCTAGCTCTCGAAGTCGACCTCGCATACCTCGAATAACAAAGATGTGATGACGACTCATCACACTTACAACACACTTGAAGTTCTACACATTACAAAGGATAAGAAGGAATCTGGTGATGACTCAGCAACAAGGGGAGACGAATCGACCAGGGCATTTTGGACCTTCTAAGTCCACCGATTTGGGCATTCTGGGTACTTCAGGTAAATATTCACTCCTATATAAAGGAGGTGAGGTAACCCTAAACCCTAACTCTCATTCACTCCCACTCTCCCCCATAGCTGCTGCGCAGCCTCCCTTCATCACTCTCATACTGACTTGAGCGTCGGAGGCTCTACGTCGGAAACACCTCAGGCGTTGAGTTTTTGCAGGAATCTCGCGGTCTAGCAACGATTGGGAAGCGGTTCAAGCAGATCTGAGCTCACAACAACCGGTTTACTCCAGATCTGGAAGTAGACCCATCAGAGTTGTTGTGACCATTTCTATTACGTTTTTCTGTACTATTTTGTCGTTTTTTTCCCCCGGTTTTAGGTCATTTTGTTAGTTTTTAGTTCATTTTATAGTTTATTGTGTGTTTTGTTCTCTGTTGGCTTTTTATGTATTTTTCGTGTATTTTGTCGTTTTTCTATGTTTTTCTTCTTGTTTTTAGTGTGTAGGTCGGAAGTCCCGTCAGGAATCGATTTAGCTCGAAAATGGATCAAGAAATCATGGTTGGATAGATGGATTTCTTAGCTACACACAGGAAAAAGCGGAATCCAATTTCGAGATCGGACGAGTCCGGACGGGCCCAATATACGAATTCGTGCACGAAATCCGTCAACTTGAAGTCAAAAGCTCCGGTAAACACGTTCTGAAGAAGAAGTTGGATTTGATAACACGAATGCGTAGAGGGCTTCGTTTGCTACATGTAGGAAAAAATAGAATCGAATTCCGAGTTCGGAAGAGCTCGAACGAGCCTAAAACGTGAAGTCGCGCATTGCAGTAGCAAGAAGTACCGCGAAAAGCAACAGTTTTTCAGCGCTTGGAAGTCGCGGCCGCGACTCTTCTCCGCGGGCAGCGGAACCTGGAATAGGCAGATTTTGTGGCTTTTCCTCATTTTACTCACTAGTGGAAGACATGGTCGGTTTTTGGGGTTTGTTTTGTAAATGAAAGTTTTTTGCTTTTACAAATATCTACATGATTAACATGAATGGAGTTTTAAAATATTATTAACTTACATACCATATATATTTCAATGACTTGGCAAATGCGTTGGGATGAGAGTAATCAACTAATCTATATTTCTCGCTTTCTTTATTCCCGAAAAGTAATAAACTGATCTATATCTACTAAGGCTTTGATAAGTTTTTAAAGCACGGGGGAGTGCCCTATTAACACGATATGCATAACAGGTTTGTGAAAGCAAATCTCTACATGATTAACACGGGGGTTTTAAATCTTATCTAATAAACTAATATTTCTTCAATTTCAACAATTAGTATATTAACTATATATTAACCCTCCTTCTCCATTTCTTCCTCTCTTTCTTCTTCTTGTATTTTCTTTATTTTGTTTTTTGGATGAAGCTTGTATTTGAACTCAACACTTGGAGATTGATATGTAAGTTTATTTTCTCTTTGAATTAAATCATGCATAATGGTTAATTTAGGAGAAATTTTTTGTTGTGTTGAATTTGATATGAGTAGCTAATCCTTTAGTTAGGGTTAAGGTATAATCATTCCGGTTTGTTCTCGTTTATGTGCATGACGATAGCTCAATCTTGACGAGTTGTTTTAATTATGAATTGATAAAATCATACTTGATAAATTTTTATAACCTAAGAGTGACACTTAGGTTAATTTGTTGATATAATCGAAGAGTGACACTTCGATTTGTGATTGAATATTGATTTGTTGAGTTAGAGTTTGTTAATTCTATGATTTTAGAACCAAAAAGGGAGGAATCGTAGAGATAATCGATTTCAAAACCGAGAGGGGAGAAATTGGTGGAATTTGGCTCGTTTAGAGTAGACATGTTCGGAGACGTATTGTCTATGTATTAATTGTTTCGTTAATTTGCTCTTTTATGTTTATCCTCATATTATGAGAGTTAGTGAGGTTAAACCGCTAAATGAGTTAGTTAGTCGAACCACTTAACCGAGTTATTAATTGCCGTTAAATATGTGTAGAACCGGAAGCGATTATTCCCGATACCCAAGCTCGTCTATCTTTTTGTCGATTATATTTTTAGGTAGATTATCGTCTTTTGTTATTTCTTAGTTGATAATTTTCCAACCCTATCGTGATTAGAATGTTTAGGAATTATTTTGCTTTTATGTGTTATCGATACCAATACTAAATTCCGAACCGCCTTCCTCGAGAGATCAACCCGGGAAACGAATCATTCGATTCAGTGCTCGGTAAAATAAAAATAATTTGCTACAACATAGTTCGCATTATATTCAGATCAGTTATTTCCGTATATACTTATTTCATGATGGATTATTATATGTGATGTTTATTCAGTGCCGGATTCTGCGGAGCACTGTGGTTCTTAGTGATGACGCTCCCACTATTATTATCTTCTTAGGTGATGGGGTCGTGCGTGGCGCATGAGCAGCTGGTTGGTGTGGTGGTCCGAGCTTTTGGACATTTGATTAAGTTTTATGTACTAAGTTAAATTTTAAGACTATTCGGACTGTTGTACTTTATTTTCAGCTTCCGCATGCGAGTTTTTTTTCCAGTTATTAAGTATTGCATGTAGAACTCCGCCATCGATCTCACAAGGGGATCCACTTTATTAGGCGGCATGCGTAAAGTTAGTTTTAAGTATTTAAGCTTGCATGTAGAATTCCATCATATGATCTCACAAGGGGATCCACTTTATTATTATTAGACGACATGCATAAATGTTAAAGAACAGATGGCCAGTCAGTATTAAAGTAGTAGCATCCCGCATTAAGTAAAAGTGTTCGAGAAAATTAAGTAAAAGTGTTCGAAACTAAAACGGAGTAAAATTTTCGCGTTTTAGTTTCGAAAACTCTTTCTTAATTTTCGAAAACACTTTACTTAATGCGGGATGCTACTTACTTTACTATTGACTAGCCATCTGTTCTTTAACATTTAAGCATGCCATCTAATAATAATAAAGTGGATCCCCTTGTGAGATCACATGACGGAATTCTACGTGCAGTCTTAAATACTTGAACTTACTGTATGCATGCCGCCTAGTATGCTAAAATGGATCCCTGTGAGAGATCGATGGCGGAATTCTACATGCACACTAAATAACTGGAATTAACACCATACATGCCACCTAGTAATATAAAATGGATCCCCTTGCGGGATCAGGGTGGAATTCTACATGCATACTTAATATTTGAAAATCTTGCATGTGGAAGCTGAAATTAAGGTACAACAGTTTGAACAGTCTGAAAATAAACATATTACATAACGACATAAACAAATGTACAAAAGCTCGAACCACCACACCAACCAGCTGCTCACGCGCCACGCACGACCCCACTCACCTAAAACGATAAGAATAGTGGGAGCGTGAGCACAAAGAACCACGGTGCTCCGCAGAAGCCGACACTGAATATACATCACATATAATAATCCATCATGAAATAAGCATATGTGGAAATAATTAATCTGAATATAATGCGAACTACACCATCCGGCCGTGACCGAGAAATCATGTGAACACTCCGGGTGGCAATGGCCGCCCCAGAACCTGGATAGTGGCATTGGCCTCCCAACTCAGGTGATATGTAGCTGCAAGGACCTACTTGGGCGTCGTTGCCATTGGGCAAATACTTTTTATCTACATACATACCTCAGATATGGTAAACGATTATACGCAGTGATATACCCAGTACGGGTTTCCACTTGATAAGCTGGTATAACTCTACAAGTGCTGGAAAAATGGATGTAGCTGACGGAGGCTCGACTCTCATCAAGCTACTAAAATATTCAAGCAAATATTTCTAAGTAATTTGCTCGACTGAAGCTACTGATCTCAAGACTTAACACTCAAAGACAAGCAAATAGGCAAGCAAAGCAGATAAGGCAGACATAACAGATAAATAGGTACAATCATACAATCAGAGCAGATAAGAACAAATAAACAAATAAGACTAAAACTGGCTTCTCGGCTATACTGGACTGATCTTGAATTTCTGGATAAAATCTGACTGAAGCTCGGAAACTAAAATTTTCAGTATAGCTTTATCTGGCTCGAACCGGCTGACCCGCCGGACTCTGGCGACCCATTCCGATCAACTAACTCATACAAGGTTTTATATACTAATGGACTTCAACTATGTACAAGTTCATCATTTAAATCAACTTAAATCGAGCTAAACGAGCTTCGAAACTTCAAGAAAATAAGGGTAGTTATGAATTTTTCGCCAATGGCAGTTTGGCACCCGATCTAACAATAGGTGCCCCACCACTTAATGGGCCTACGAAAGCCAAGCCCACTCCAATTATTGGATATGTCGACGTACAATACGTTAGAGAATTCAGAAAATAAGGACACTCAGTACTTCTTAAAATATAAGCATTAATATATGACTTAAAATTATGTCAAAACAGTTACTTTTGTTTTCCATTTTGTACGCCCTATTTTGTTATCGATGAATTACTAGTTCTTGTCCCGTGCATTTGCACGAAAAACTATATGATACATGAAAAAATAATAAAAATTATAAACAATAGTAAAAATCATAAAAAATTCATTGAAAAAAATTAAGAAAAAAAAATATTAATATTCTTAAACACTTCTTTATAAAACAACGTCGTGGTTTTGCTATCGTCAAAATCTCCCTCAGCTCAAATCAAAATCTTCAAACCCCACGGACTCGTAACTCTAAAAAGCGCTACGTATAATTGCTCATGACTAAATGCAGAGCTCTTTAGTAGTAAGCCGACGTGCGACAGAGACTGTCTTTGACTCTTATTGATCATGTCATAGCATAGGAAACACTTCTTTATATTGTCTGTCCTTCACTCTTATTGATTGATAGAGATTGTCCTTGCTTCTTAATAAAAAAAAATACCATCTAAATATAAATGAGTTAATATAATATTAATTTTTTATATAAACAAAAAATTTAAAGTAATTGATAATGAGTATAGAATTACCCTTGCGGATTCAAGTTATTTCAACGATGTTCTTTTTATATATCTAAGATTTAATTTTTTTTTCTGATTTATATGAATATAAGCACATTTGACTAATTTTTATAAAATTTATTGAAAAAAGTTACTATTTTTTTGAAAAACTTATAAGATATTAAGATAATACTGTACTTAACATAAATGTGGAAATAATTAAAATAAATCTTTTTAATTTAGTCATTAACTAACTAAATTTAACTATAAAAAACCTTCTTAAATGTGAGATTAATGAGTAATTAATTAAAAAAATGTAACTTCTTTTGGAGGGAAAGTGAAAATATTTTTATTAAATGTTTTATTAAATGGGATTATCTAGCAATTATATATATATATATATAGATTCGCGGTTATTTTTTTATTTTATTCTTATTTTCATATTCCATTTGGTTATTGTTGGGTTATTGGCGGTTACTTTTTATTTTATTTTTATTTTCATATTTTGATAAGATATTATTTTTATTTATTTGAGATTTTTAAAAAGCCTTACAAAATCTTAAGGGGGTGTATTCGTTCGGAATTTTGAGTGACATTTTGAAACTTGTTGAGACTTGAGACTTTTTAAAATTTTCACATTTTGGAGAAATCCAAATTCTAAGTTTGGATGTGGGATTTTGTATATGTTTATTTTTTTAATAAAATCTCAGTAAATTTTAAAAAGTCTTAACAAACCTTAATCTCGAATAAATTAAGTACATCTGAATTTTGTAAATCTCTTTAAAACCCCAAATGAATATCTCAAGACTTTTAAAGTCTTAAAAAGTCAAAATTAAATACAACAGAATTTCTAAATTCTCAAAAAATTTATAGAAATTCAAATGAATACACTTGTAACTTATTTATAACAAGGAGTTATTAAGACTTTTTATTATTTACTAGGATTTCAAAAGGAAAATCTATATATGAAATCACACTACAAATCTCACCAGTAGACTTTTGGGGGTGTATTCGTTTCAGATTTCGAGTGACTTTAGACTTTTTGAGATTTAAGACTTTGAGATTTTCATATTTAAGATGAATCATATGAAATCTTAAGTTTGGAGGCGAGATTTGGAATAAAATTTCGTATATGGTTTTTTATTTTTAAATCACAGCAAATCTTAAAAAGTATTCACAAATTTCAGTCTCAAATAAGTTAAAGAGAAAATTACTTCCCTTACTCATCATTTGCTAAATATTATTAAATCTACGAAATCGGAACTTAAATTCAAATGTATGAATTTTAATTAACAGTATATTTGAACCAAAAACTCTCTCTCTCTCTCTCTCTCTCTCTCTCCCTCTCTCTCTCTCTTCATTTTTCCTTCCTCCTTTATTCTTCTTTTCGTAGACGAAAAACCCCAAAATTAGCAGACCAAGAATTCCTTAAATTCTTCCCTTAATTTCCTTTCTTAGCCACTATCTCACGAAGCATTAACCTCGGTGACGCGAGCGGCGGACCTCAGAGCGATGACGAACCTCGGCGGGTGCGGATCGCGGTCAGCAGACGGCTTGGGAAGGGGCGTGAGAGGTAGTCTGCGCCCCAGTTGAAGACTCGGCTCAAGTTCGTGACTCGAAAGTGGGTCTGTTTTGTTGTTTATCTCATGTACAACTACATCCGATTTGGATTTTGTAGTCATTCATAATTGTTTATATGTTGTTTATTTTATGTATAACTATACGGTTAATATTAGACAACTGTCACATCATGTTTATTTGATGTATATATGCAGTATATCTGAACATTTATTTGGTAGTTATTAGGTCGTATGTATACAGTATCTCTGAATTTTTTTTATCGAATAAGATTTCACGAAAGATAATTTTATCTAAATTTTTTGCTTTCCAATTCCTGATATTTATTTTTTCTTCAATTAATTCCTCTGATCGCGATAAAAAAAAATTTTAAAAAAAAATAAAAAAAAAATAAAACACTGATGAGAATCTTCTTCTCCTTTTCGTTTGAATTTTGGAAAATCTCATACAATTATGGTAAGGATCACCTTTGTTTCTTTTTTTTTAATGTAAAAATCTCTTTTGATTTGCGTGAACCAAGGTCTTATAAAAATGAGTGCATAAGTTTTGGAAGGTAACTCACTACCGTATATTTGTTAATATTTATCCACAAAAGTTCACATTTCATAAAACTTTCTTACTCATGTATATTTAATAATACGTCTTATATAGAGTATAAGTATGTAAATTTCCTAAGTTAAATGCCTCAGCATTTTCTAAAATATTTTAAAATCTCAAACGAATATCTCAAAACTCGTAAAAGTCTTAAACAAATCAAAACTAAATACACAAGAATTTTTTAAATCTTAAAAAATCTTCATAAATCCCAAATCGATACACCCCTTAAGATTTCATAACATTTTTTTTAAAATTTTATTTTAAAACTTAAAAAAGTCTCAGACTTCAAAAGATTCTCAAATTCCATGTCATTCCAATGTCATTATGTCATAGACCATTTTACCGAAAGGGCATGGGATAGCCATAAAAAGTTGGGGCAATTTTATATATACACAGCGATTTAATATTAATTGCAACAATATGAATAATTACATTTATTGCAAACTTAACAAATGCATGGAATTTATTTGTGATAATGCAAGATATCAGTTACTCCAAAAAAATAGATCAAGTCTCCTTAAACTGCGGGATTACAAGTTGTCGTTTTTCTTGGAAAAAAATGGAACAATTTATGGCAATTGTATATATCCTAATATCTAGGATATTCTTTCAATTCAAAATGGATAATTTTTGCCATTTTCGTTGGAAAAAAAAAATGGAACAGATTTATGGCAAGTGTATATATCCTAATATTTAGGATATTTTTTACTTGTCGAACTATTTTTTATTTATTTTTTTAATATCGCATCATGTTAGCAGCGTATATTAAACGTATATATATTCAGTATATGTATACATTATATCTGGACTAACTGTTATCAGCTAATTAAACGAAGGCAAAACATGGGAAACTAAACCTCTCTCTTCGTCAGTTACGGGAAGATTTTATAACAAAATAATGCAATGAATATCGTCTCGCATGGTAAGCAACAAAATCATGTTTCACGTAGATTTAGCTTGCAAAAAAATAGGGAATTTGATTGGTATCATCGTTTTGATATTTCCGGTAAGGCAAAAATCCTATTTTGGTCCTCTAACTTGGTCATTGTCCATTTTTGGTACGCCAACTTCCACTCATCAATAATAATACGTTATGTTGCAATTTGTATCATTTTTAGGACATTACTCATCAAAAACAATATGTTATGTTGCAATATGTATTATTTTTAGGACATTAATCCCAAAAAATAATGAACCATTTTTGGGATAATGTCCCAGTAGTGATACAAACTGCAATATAACGTACTATTTTTTATGAGGGAAAAGTTGGTGTACAAAAAATGGACAATAGACAACTTAGAGTACTAAAATTGAATTTTTGCCTTTTCGGTAATATCCACCATCCGAATAATTATTTACATACGGTTGCAAGAAAAAAGAATGCACAGTGTCATTTTTTTTAATTCGTTTTTTTATGTCTTATTTATTTTTTCGGTATATATTGCGTTTATAGTTAGTATATATCTCAGCGTTATATCTCATGTGTTTTGCATGCACAGAATATAATGTGTTTATAGTTAGTATATATTCAGTATATGTTGCAATAATCTTCTATTATACCAAAACAACCAAACAACAACAAATTGCTGACGGCAATCAGACAAAATTATGTATATTTAAAGTATATAAAACAAGTTGAAATCGTACTCATGTACCTAAAAAATATACTGTTGACCTTACATATACTAAATAATAGTATATTTGTCGGGAACATATACAGAAGATATATTCATTGACCATTGTATACAGACGACATAAAAGAAAATACACAACACATATAAAGAAGATACATCAATCTTGTCATTATATATATAATATATACGGCGGATGATACAGCCGCCGACAGCACTAACATTGAACCTCATTCACCGACGATACAGCCACCGGCAGCACCGGAGCCAGAACTGCGGGCCTTTCCAACGTCACCCTCACCTATCAATTGAATAAAAACAAAAAATATCACATCTTTTATTCAAACCTACACCCCAAGATCACATATTTTATTCAACAATGTTTCCCTCCCTCGAAAAGACCACCAAAAGTGAACTGCGTGGGCTCGAAATTGCATTTCCACATTGCGGAGAACAGTTCGAGATTTTCGTGTATGAACCTGGCCCGACCGTAGCAGCCTAACATGGTATTATAGGAGACGGCGTTTGTTTTCGGCATTCCATCGGACATCTTGCGAGCCATATCGATCTCGCCGAGGGATGCGTGTTTGGAGATGATACTGTTGTGAAGAAAAACGAGTTCTTGATTGGGAACGAGCCCATGTGGTGACGAGAGCGTGGAAAGATTTTGCCCCGTCGAGTGACGTAATGTTCGCGGGGTCGGGTAGCGCTGCGGCGCGACAGTGGTTTTTGATATTTTCGCCCTTAGAGGTGGCTGAGAAGAGAAGCTTTTGGGTCGAAGGAGGAAATCTGTGGGTACAAATGCTTTGATGTGAAAACATGGTGAGAGAATTCGCATAAAGTTTCCCATAAATTATGCTAATTATTGATATAATAAATAGTTGGTAAAGCTACAAATAAAAATCAAATTTCTTGCTATATTGTAAATATTTACAAAGACTTCATTATGTAATAAAATATTATTTCAATGTAGGGGGTAATTTTTTCTCTAAAAAGTTCATATTTCACGTTTCCTTTCTAATTCAAGTGATCCCATTCAGTCGATTTTTGCTTTCTACCCAAAAGGGAGCCAATAGTAAACTAGGCAGTAGGTTGAAACCCTGAGGTTGAACTTTCTGCATGGGTTTCTGCTGTTATACAATGTGTAGAATGACTGAATTGACTAGAACATATCTAAAATGGCAACACATCAACCATAAGATAATACCCATTACCAATAATCCATTCAGAAAAACTCTTCATCAGTACAAACTAATGAAACCTAACCACGTACTCACCCAAACATAAAACTTAATAATAGTACTCGAGAATTACATAAGGCTAACCTAGAAAGTGAACGGCCAAATATGTGTTCGAGATGACACATTAGACACTATCGACTGAGTTACCAAGCAATTACGAAGAAAAAGATGCCCACAATGACTTGTAACTAATACGAAGAAGGTTTTCAGATGTTGGTTTGAATTGTGGTAGGACCAAAATGCCCTTATCGTTTGAATGGTCTCTCATCATCCTCTCCGCCATCACTGTCATCAGAGTCATCATCCTTGGATGAGCGCTTTCTCTTTGGTGGGGCCTCGAGTTTTCCGCCTTCATCATCTTCATCATCATCTTCATCTCCTTCAAAATCCTCTTCACCATTTTCTTGTGGCTCGAAATCACTGGCATCTTCCTCGTCCTCAGCACGGCCCACAGGCCTCACCAAGTACTCTGTCCCAAGATCACCCTAAGAGCAGCATATGTAAATTTTTTGTATATTTATCACAAATCTTATACTTCCAACTTGAGAAAAATGAAGAACATAGCCCAAAAGAAAAAAAGGGATACTATCAATTTATAGTCGAAATAGTCTGCAGATATTATTAATAATGTGAAAACAAATATTGAAACAGCTAATTGTCAACATTTCAAGAATCCAGACAAAACCTCAATTTTCTCAGTAGCACCTCCCAAGAAGCATGTCGTAACCAAAAAAGCTTCCTTGAGTTGAACATAAAAATGTAGTGTTTGATGCAATAAACAAGATGGAATTGGGAGTGGAGCAGGACATAAGGCCAGTGTGTACTAGATCAAATTGGTCTATACATCTTAGGTTTTTCTCAATAGTAGAAATTCAAATACAAAATTAATAGCCTCAAAATTGAAAATGTAATTACCAACAACTAATTATAAACTATACAGCAAAAGGAAGCCATAAATTTAATCACAACATTCATGTAGCTGCTAAACCAGAGGAGATATAAGGAAAATAAACACCATCTTCATCATATTACAGACCCTACCACCAGAAGAAGCTACAATAAAACAAATCCAAGAACAAAAAAAAAAATAAAAAAAAAAAAATTGGTGACTGACAACAGCAATTTGAGAAATCTGAAATCTAGATATTATCAAGTCACAAAGTAACAGATCTTTCAAGGTACTTCAAGGAAAGTACCATATCCCATATAAGATGGGTATTTGTCTGTTCAAAAAGAACAAACTTTCAAGATTTTCGGTTCCACAAAATAATATAATCTAGTTGTAACTTTGACAAATAACATGTAATAAACTAGATCTAACTAGTTTCAACAAGAACACGACCAACACAGCAAGAGCATATAAAATAACAAAAAGAAAAACACATAAACAGATACATATAAAAAGTTTTGCAAGTTGAAACATGTATTTAGCTCTCGTATACACCAAAAAAGCTCCAGATCTGACCAGTTCCAACAAAAAATTACACAAAAAAAATACAAACTCCACCATAAATTGCAAGAACCAGACAAAAACTACACATACAAGTTCATATATAAAGCTATGGAAACAATAGCACACATTAGCTCAATCATGAACCAAAACTGTCATAATTACTCCAAAAACTCCAGATTTTTAAACCGCTTCCGAGAATAAATTTCACTTAATGCAATAAAAAACCCAAAACAACTAAAATTTACTTAAAAACAGTTTGTTAACACCGAAAAATAAACGAGAAGTTAAAAAAAAATCAAAAAAATTAACCTCTTCTTCTTCTTCTTCTTCTTCGCCTTCTTCGTTGTCGCTGTCCTCTTCCTCCTCATCTTCATCGTCGTCGTCGTCGTCGTCGTCGTCATCGTCTCCGTCGTCTTCATCATTCTCTCCGTCGTCGTCTTCCTCATCGTCTCCGTCAACCGAAGCTACCGGAGCCCTACTTCCGATGCTGTTCAGGACTTCCTCATCGTCGTCGTCCTCTTCCTCTACCCCCGCTTCCTCTTCCTCGTCGCCGTCGTCATCTACGTCCACTACCTGCTCGAATATTTCCTCCTCTTCATACACCGCCATGATTTTTCACCGGAAGCTCTTCCGTTCAATATATTTCTTTTTCTTTTTTCTTTTTCTTTTTTTCAAAAATATAATGAAGAAAAAAAATAGTGGGAGAAAAGAGGAAGAAACGGAGGAGTGTCCTCTGAGGAGAGAGGGTAGATCTGGGCCGTTGATTAAGGAATTCTTTGCGGATCGATGACGTGGAGAGTAATCAACGGTAGAAACAAGTCCTGCGTTATTACTCTTTGAGCTTAACAAACGCGGCGCGATACGTGCCTTTTTTTCTTTCTTTGTGATGATTATTGCGTCACGTGATTCACGCGTGAAGGTATCTAGGGTTCAACGACAATCGAGATAAGGTAATTGGGCTTGGACCCAATAAGGATAAAGCGGCCTGATACATCTGGACTGTAAAAATGCACCAATAATGGACCTAATTACCTATTTACTTGGAATCCAGCCCATACTTGAAGACGGAAAATTCATGAGAAAATTATCCCCACGATGCTAGATTTAATTTAACTAGTACAGAGCCCGTGCGATACACGGGATGCACAATTTTAAGGCTATTTATCCAAGCGTATAATTATATACATGAATAAAAAAAAAAATATACGGGATATATATAGTACGTGACCCGTGCGAAGCACGGGATATATTTATTTGGAGAATATTATATTATAAGATGCAATATTCAAAAAAAATTTATAATACGCAAGAAAATTGTACAATGTTCAACAAAAGTTTTATAATATTCAAGTGGATTCTTAAAATCTCTTGTACATTAAGACTACTGACAAAATAATATTTTAATCAATGAGTTTCCTTTCCTTGTAGCCAAATTATGAATGTGATTTGAGGAGTACAACAAATCGATATATAGCTGACTTGTTTTTTTCATTGTAGTTGTTTTTTCTTTTTTTTTTTATAATGAATTTAAAGATATTCTAAAATATAGCAAAAATTAATTTTTTTATTACAATTAGGAATTTTACTAAATATAAACTCTCAATCTATGGTGTTAATCAACGTTTAAGTCTAAAAAATTAGGAATTTTTACCTCTTTTAATCAACGTTTAAGTCTAAAAAACAATAGAGTTATTATAAATTTTTTTTCTACATCTTTTAAAACATTAAATATGAGCATGTTAGGGCTAGCTTGTAAAATAATTAATATATTATCTCACTAAAACATTTATACTAATAAAAATTTAATTTTAGCATATAAATTTATCCCTTGATATAAGAGAAAGTAACAGTTTTACTTATTGTTGTTCACCATATAATATTTAATTATTATTTTATTATATAATAAAAAAAAAATATTGTTAAATAGTGTAGTAGAATTGTTATAAAATTATATGATTTTTTTTTTACAATATGGATTTAATATTTTTTATGATTTGATAATATAAATAAATCTATACTTCACTTTGACAAATAAAACAAATAAATACTTTAGTAAGTATTTAATGTATATATTAAATAGGAATATATTTGGTATAATCAAATACCAAATATAATCAAATAAGTCAAAGCGTACATTTTTATTTGGTATTTAATTTTTTTATTATTAAAATCTTTTTATTATACTTACCTTTTTAAAATAAAAAAAATAAATAAATTAATTAAATAAATAAAATATTATAATACCAAAATAGTAATGGGATTTAATGCAGTTGACTTTTCTGGATAGTAAATGTAGTAAATAGAATCTCCTTTTATATAAGTATAGATATGATATTATATTATGTTGCTCAAAATAGTAATGCATTTATTGCATTGACTTTTCAACTTACTAAATTTCGTAAATGGTACACCTTATTATATAAGTATAGATGCCACAAAAGTAGCCACAGCTTTTTTATACCATTTCTCTTTTTTATGACGGTTATTTCCTCAAAAATCCCTAACTCACATTTCCATTTCTTCCTCAGTCCCCAGCACTTTATTTCTTCCTCCTAACTCCCTAATACTATTTATCTTTCCTCCCAACTCCCCATATAAATACTATTTGTATTATTATTGATTTATTTTTACTGATTAATTCATTTGAACAATTTCTCACTCTCTCTCTTCATTATCTCTGTCTCTCGCCTATTCCCGTCTCTCTCTCTCTCTGAAAAATTGCCGTGAAATCGCCGTGAAATTTTTCACTTTCTTGTGCATCGCCTATCATCTCTCATTCTCTGTCTTGGTGCGTCGCTCGTCGGTGAAGAAGATTCCCCCTCCCATCGCCATATCTCCGGGAAGCCCTCCGTCTCCAACCAAAATGCCGCGATCGAAAAAGCCGACCGTCTCTGGGAAGCCCTTGGTATCGGAAAAACCATCTTCCTCTTCCAAAGCTTCCAAAGCTTCCAAAGCCGTAAGCAATGTTGATTTTTAGGGATTTTATTGAACTCGAAAATTTGGGGATTTTTACAAAATTTTGATTTTTTTTTCTCGAATTGGATGTTTTCAAAAAATTGGGATTTTTTTATGGTAATTCACTTGGAATTTGGGATTTTTGTGAAAAATTATGGCTCTTTGCATGTAGGGTTTATAATTTTTTATTTTGAATTAGGGTTCATAATATTTTTTTATTTTTTTTATTAGGACTTCGAATTTGGGATTTTATTGATAAATTAGGGCTCTTTGCATCTAGGGTTCATAAATTAGAGCTCGAATTTGGGATTTTATTGATAAATTAGGGCTTCGAATTTGGGATTTTATTGGTAAATTCAGAAATTAAATGTTGCTGCTGTTGTTATTTGCGAAATTAGGGTTGAGGTGTTGTGAATTTCAGTTTGAATTGGTGTTTTAAATGTTGTTGTTGTTGGGATTTTGTTGTTGCTGTTGGGATTTTATTGGTGTTTTTCATTTGTTATCAACTTTCTCATAACAAATTGATCCAGTGATGCTGTTTTCTATTTTGTTGCTGCTGTTTTTCATTTTATTCAGTATTCTATCATGTTGCTGTTGTTTTCCATTTTGTTCTGTAGATGCATTATTTGTGTTTTATATTTTGTGAAGGGCACTGATTTTAGAAGTCGATGTGCCCCATCTTACTTTAAAGATGTGATGGACCGAATTTTTGTTGTGTTGTCTGATCAACCCAAGCAGGCTTTTCAATAGAGCCCTTTCTATTTTTTTGTTAACATGCCGGACATAGCCATTTCACATGGCAGAACTGAGGCTCTAATAAGCACATACACGGCAGAAATGAATGCCTTTGTTGTAGGTAATGGTTTGTGTTTAAAATTCGATCCGGCTGAGTTTTGTTTGACAATGGGGCTACGGCAGTGTGGTCTAAGTGTAGACTTAGATTTGAATCTGGAGTCCAAAGCCCTATTCGATGGTTGGGGTCGGGTTGATAATAAGCTTTTGAAAAGAAAGCACGTTGTAGAATATTTAGAAAAATTTGCTGTGGATGAAGGTCGCGTAGACGACTTCATTAGGATGTTCACTCTTTTTGTGTTTAGTTGTATATTGTTTCCTTGTTCTAGTTATTCCATTCCTAGGTTTGTTTACCCTTACCTAGAGAATGTGAGTCGAATTTATGAGTATGCATGGGGTGATGCTACTCACAAATTCTTGGTTGCCGAACTTGTTCGCCATAGTGAATCGAGGGAGAGATCATACTTTGATGGATGTGCAGTTGGATTGATGGTATGTATATATATGTGTGTTTCAATGTCTTAATACAATAATATTTTAATTGTGAGATTGTGTAATTTTGAAATAATGTTTATGTGTAGGCTTGGTTGTACGAGCGTGTGCCTTCTCTGAGCAAACGGTCCACGCTCGAGGCGATTCCTCGTCTGTTTCGATGGACGGGGAGCAATTTGCCGTCTACAATGGAAGGGTGTTTAAAAATCCTTCACAAAATAATGAGGCATAAGGTATAGTTTTATAGTATTATGTTTTTCCTTCTTCTTCTTTTTATATTTTTGGTTAATCGATATTGTTCTTAAATCATTATGATTTTCTTTGCTGGTGTATTCGGTGTTGCCTTTGTCTGCCGAACGTGCTTTTGTGGAGTCCTAGGTTTTCTTTAATTTTGGTCGACAATTTATGTTTCAATGTTAAAAAATTTTCAATTAAACATGTATCTTTATTTTATGTTCCCTTTAATTTTTGTTTTTTCTTTCATGTACAGGGAACGGTCGAGACCCGTTTACTTGCATTTGTTTGTGAGGAGAATGAGCAACTTAAAAAAAAATTGAACTGTTGGAGAGCGAGTGACACAAAAGAAGCAGGAAGAAGAAGAAAAATAAAAAGAGAAAGATGAGGGGGTGGAAAAAGGGAAAGATGAGGAGGAAGAAAAAGAAAATGAGGGTGCTGATGGCGGTTTTGGCCCGATTGACTTTGAGGAAGAACAGAAGGAGAAAGAGGAGGAAGAGGAAAAAGAAAATGAGGAAATAGAGGAAAAAGAGGAGGAGGAAGAGTAAAAACAAAATGAGAAAAAAGAGGAGGAGGAGGAGGAGGAGGAAAAAGAGAACGAGGAAAAAAGGAATGATGAAAAAAAGGAGGAAGCATGGGTTGTGGTGGTGTATGGAAATAAGCCAGATGATGAAAAAAATGAGTTTGTTGAGTTGAACCAATTGGTGAACCTGGTGGTGGAGTCTGCCGGTTTGACAGGAGGGCTGAATGAGCCGAACTCTGAGCACGGTGCTCAGAGCTCGCACCGACCAGCAGAGGAGGAGAAGCAACACGCCTCATCCATTGTGAAGAGGGTGCGGGAGAAGCAAGGGAGGAAAAAAAAAGGAAAAGGAGGCCGATTTCATGACCCCACCGTCATCCGCTCCGAAGAGACAAAAGAAGAAAAAAAGTTGCAGTTGACTTCCGGGACTCATGATGTGGTAATTAAACTATTAATTTTATTTCTATAATTTATGTTATTGTTCGTGTTGTTTTCATATAAATAACTAATTGTTTTGTTATACAGGAGAGTGCCGTGAGTCATTCTCATGAGTCTTCTTTGATGAGGTTTATAGGGAGAGAGGACTTCTGTGGCCCTGATGACATTCAGGAAGAGG